CCATTGTGTCAGGATTCAATATTTCAACATTTGTTATGTCATTATCAGGAATACTCTGATATGTTACAGGCGTCTTCAAGTTTGCATCATTTTTACATCGAAAATAACCGTTATTGATATAATTGTTTATTCTGATTAATATATAATACTGTAGTATGGCTTATTTTACAATATAAATGGAAACCAATCAGTCTTTGGAGGGATAAGTATCATATTACTATAAACGCTCTTTTCAAGTCTTTTGCTTTATGGAGAACTAGAACAAATATATTAATTGCAATACCGCTCCATAATTAAAATGTTATCTTTGTAAACATTTATAGTTTTTCTATTGTTTAGTTATTAGCAATTTTTCATTAAGACATGGTGCTAATTTTGACACTTGTTTATCTTTCATTTATAATTTTAAATATATTCTTAGTTGTTGCTTTTGTTTGATATACAGGCTGTGATGTTTTATCGGTCTGTTTGAATCCTTATGTATTATCTAAGTTAATTTTATCTCGGTCTTTTTGTTAGTTAAGTTCAACATTTTTATCTAAATCGTGTTGCCACCGATCTCATTATTATATACTACAGGATCTTATAATTATTCATTCTGATTGTCCGAAATATATCAATCGCCATAATTAATTTATCTTAATAAGCAATTTTTCATTGACATGGTACCACTTTTGACTTTTCTGTGTCTTTCATTTTTAAGTCTAAATTTATATTATATGTTGCTTTTGCTTGATATATAGGTTTGAGGATTTATTGTCCTGTTTGAATTTTTATCAATTGCGTTAATTAATTTTCTAGGTTTTATTTAGCATTAACATATTATTTTTAATTGCTTCTTTATACGCCTACTTTTAATTTACCTCACTGTCTGTAAAAATCGTTAACTTGGATGCACCCCTATTGTTGTGTGTGCCACAGATCTTAAGGTGTTATTCCTAATAAATTGATTGATTGATTGAAGTCGGGCGAGAACGGGAAAATTTACATACAGATACAGGGTTCTTACCGGTATTGTCTCCGCGGGTGGTCTACCGGTTCGTGCAGAACTCGGCTTTCAAAAAAAAGATGTGCATTTTGGGCGTACAGTATAGACCCAGAGTAAACTTTCATTCGTTTGGCAATGGTAGAATAAAACAAAAAATTAATGCCATTGATAAACGAATAATCAGTAGTACAATCACGTATGCATGCGGCGGACGTAGTAGCCTAGGCTACTATGTAATGGAAGAACAAATTTGGATTCTAGGTTAGCCCTCCGTTGAAATAATGTATTTTATCAAGCTTTTCAGTTTTGTTTTTGGAATTAAACTGTAAAAGAAGCAGGGACCATGAAAATTTAAACAGACTTTACTTCTGGCGCGTATTGAAACAGTCTATTTTTAGGCCTATTCTTTATTCTAAATTCAAATACACATAAAAATCGCAGCCAAGGCTGAATTAATTGATATTGACAAAAAATATGGCAAGTAGGCCAACATAAAAACATCAATAAAACACAAGCACAAGACATAAAAAATGGGGATAAAAGTAACATTAAAATACATTAAAATGGGAAACATCAGAAGTATACAACAGGTTAAAAAACATATACTGTACATAATAAAATAGATTATTTTAAATGCTGCTAAATTGATGTCTTTATTTTTTCCTGCATAACTGGCCACAAAAATTATTCAACCTGGGATTTTCATAAAGCAATGACCAGACTATCAATTTTAATTTGACAAAAACATGACATGCCTAAATACATCAAGACCATATACAGTATAGGCGCATCATCACTATATATGGGCATGTAACAGTTTTTTTTCTCTCACCATATTCCAATACTTAAAACTAGTTTTGATTGGCTACCCCTGGCCTATGTTTGGTATTAGCAGTCTGCTAATGTAATCTACTTGTTATTCACAGTAAAAACCTTATACTTATTATCAAGTCTTACCAACACTGTTATATAGCCTTTTATAAATCAGACATATTTTAAACAGAAAAAAGCAAAGTATGGCCAGGTTAGTTAACCATGACCAACCAGTTAGATGCCATCAAAACAGGCAGTTGAGCATGAAGAAATGAGTCAGGGAACCCCAAATGCAAGTACAATCTCAGTCCAACCAAAAAGCCTATCAGAAGACTGCAAAAACAGTTACGGAAAAAAATAATGGTAAAATCCTGAGTCTCACCTATCTACTAGTTAACAGTGCATTCTGAATGCAGCACCTTTAAATATATAAATACAGCACCACTTTGAATAAAAACTGACATAACTACATATTCAGTGTGTTTCACTGATTGACCATGAAAAGCACACAAGTGTTAAAATCAATGACAGAGTTAGTGTTTATTCTCCTCATCTTAAAACAGCTAGTGTTAACTAGAATACAAATATTGACTGTTCATGAGGAGAATGGTGAAATCTATGACCGTCAGTTGATATGGAGAGACCGTAGCCTACTGTGAAGACAGTAGGCTACTGTCTCTACATCACCAAGGGGCTATAGATTTCATTTCATTCATAAATTACATAGCAATGTTACAGGTGGGGCCTAGAGATTACATTGTGACAGGGCAAAACCGTAGTATGATTTAATGTGATAGTACTTTCTCCCCGGGAATTTATGAACTATCATTCAACCTATGTTGTAGGCTGAAGTTATTGGCTGCTTTTTAAATAATCAGATGCCTGGAATCTATATGTGGTATATACTGTACTCGCGCGAATAAGCGCCTGGGCGCTTAAAATATTTTTTGCACTTTTTGAGGGGCGCTTATTCAAACGGGGCACTTATTCGAACGGGGCACTTATCAAAACAGAGTGGAAATTGAGGGGGCGCTTATGGAAATAGAAGAAAATCGAGGGGTTCTTATGAGAACTTATTAAATTCCAGAGGCACAGTTTGAATGAAAAACGATTATATAAGGACCGTAATATCAGGACACCACCAATTACGAATGGTGGTGCAGCGGAATAGATAATGGTCCAGAGGGCATGGCTTGTCATGACAAGAATGTTGTGAGTACAGTATTACATAACAGTAGAATGGCAGATGAAATAGAGGTGGTGGTTAGCTTGTTGGCCATCGGCCGATTGA